GACCGCGATCGATGACGACGCGACGTCAGGTGCACGTGTGCACAGAAACGAATTATACAGCTTTAATCTCTTTGCTGCTGCCGATGCTTTAATAATTTACGAGCGCGATGCCTTTTCTCTCTCTCTCTCTCATATAGCGCGCGACATGATAAGACGAACCCTCAAACGAGAACCGGGGAGGGTTTTTGGCAACGTTACAAATCGCCGTTTATTTTAGTTCAAGTTGGTACTTTACGCATATTTGTACGCATCTAGTGTCTGTCTCAGCTGTGAAATAACTCAGAGTCTAACTGTTGCGCCACCACAATTACATTTCACTTGTAAACTACATCGCGTATTTTCGGAGATGTGGTTTTGTCGAAACTAATACACAATACACTTTTGTTCATCTATCTCTATGTAAGCGCTTCTTATTTAATCCTCTATAGCCCCAAGTAGAGTCACATATCGATATATCGATATTCTTTTGGGTCCAATTTCACTTTTAGTTGCAATGTGTCAACTTGTTTTGTGACCTCTTTTTCGTTAAACACGGAGATTGTTTATCGCAGTAGTTGAAAAAATAAATAAATAAAAATAAAATCTTTGAAAATGGTTAATTTATTGTTATAATTTACATCTGGAGGTTGATATTTGCTGGTTACATAAATTTGTTTATATTTACGAAAATATGTTTATATTCTGTCAACAAATTTGCGTGTATACAAGCTGCGTAATGCTTTAACATATATGTACACACACACACACATATATATACATGGAAGAGAGACGAATACCGATCTGTATCTAAAACAGAAAATCATTCGTCTCAAGATAAACGCCGCTCTCGAACACGATCGATTACCTTCACTCTACGATTACCAACTGAAAGTTTTTCCCTTTTGCGCACCTGCAATTCCGCAAGTCACTTGATCAGCGCAATCTGCATCTGTCCGCCGGCTGTTTGGCGCGCATCCGCGCATTTGCGCGGTTCACGAATCGCTCTGAGAACGGGGCGAACCTAGATCCCAAGGTGAACCAGTTGCTCTGATAAAACGACGTAATAAATAACGCTAGCCGTTACGCGCGAGGATCAACGTCTTAAATGCAAGCGCGCGAGACACGCCCACTAAATTGTCAATCGCGAAAACGTCCAGGATGCCACGGACCGCGTGGTTGTAAACCACGCTCGTTATTCGGACCATTAAACTGTTTATCATTCCATCGCGTCGCCGAATATACACGTTTCCTCTCGTCTTTTTGCAATCAATCGCCACTGTCGCGGGATGCGGACAGGAATCGGTCGGCGGGATTGGAACGTAAATCGGTTGTTAAATTAAAAATTCGTCTCGCATTCTTTATCGACTCGCTTTCTCTTTCTCCATCTTGATTTGTCAATTTATTTGATTGTTAAAAAACAAAAAAATTAATTAATGCATTTGCATCTACTCAATTGCGCTTTTCTTGAAGCTCGTTAACTTTAATATTGTTAACTGTTTGATCTTACAAAATCATCGTTTTAGTCTTACGAGGAGATTTCTGAAATATTAGTTTCTCTCTCGCGCTTATAAAGTATTTCACTCTCATTTTTCGTGACTCACCGACTTTCAGTGCCTGGAAATTTTAATTTACACAATTGATTGCAATTGGGTCAGGAAGGACGTCGTTAAATTTAAGTTGTTCTCACAGTCACGTTTTTCTTTTTTTTTATCTCAGGAGCTTGACGTTAAAGAACATCACATCGCGCTGTATTTTTAATCAACGTAGTCGTTTGCAAACTGTCGCCGTGCAAATTTATACGTGCCGATGGTCTTTTCATTCTTGCAATAATCTCGTGAGCTCAGAATGTTCGCAATGACGTCTATCCACCATCGTGAAACACGATGTTGCGAGCGAGCCGAGGATTCTTCTCGGATGTTTCATCGCGCAAAGCACAAAAATGAAACCTAATTTGAATCACGTTGATATCGCGTTCGTCGTTTTCTATCAAAAATATTCCGATATTCCGATTTTCCGTCTTATCGATTAATTGCGCGATTTTTTTTTATCATAATAATTAGCCTCACGACTTACGACCACGCGTCATGGACCGGAAAATGTCTCATTGCTCAGTCTTGGCACGAAACGCGCTTACACTCGACGAACATAAAGTCTTTCTTCGGGATCGAGAGTGGGAGAAGAAACCTGCGCTGTCGCATTGCGCGCGTTGCCGCTTTAAATCCGGAAATAAAACTGCTACCGAAGCATATAAAACGCCAGGAAACCGGTAACGATAGCATCGCATCTGTGTGCATATATATACACCTCCGTAAAAATCTCTGATTACACTTTGCCAACACATTTGATTACATTATCTAAAAGTCTTCCCATCGTCAACTACTCCCGAGCTTGCAATCTTATCATCTGTCATCTTGACTTAAACTCAATGGATATTAAAAATCAAAAACATTCGCAGTAATGATTATAAGAGAAACGCTCAATGTTCTCGCGTTTTCTGATAATCAATATCTCGGTCAAAAAAATTAACAGATAAAAGAGTGACAAATATCAAAAATAATCTGTGATGTATAAATATCGCAGCTTCTTCAACCTTCTGTGCCTACTTGCGATAAGATAATAGGGATCTCTAGTAAAGAAAAAAAAAAGAGAAGAAAGGAATAAAGGGAGAACCGTGTAAAAGGCGAGAGAGGCACTTGTGGCGCGAGTTCCGGATTTCTCGAGTATTTGCTCAATCGTCGAGCGGCGCGTTAAGACGCGCAGTGCGAAACGTTTGACAGTGGGACGTGCCGGAACGCGACGGGAATGCCGATGGCAATCGACCGTCTTCGGCAAAGCATTATCACGCACTCTCCTTCGATGCGCACAGAGAGAACGGATTGTGCGTTGACGATTTGTGTGTCGGGGCGCACCTACTGCTAGACGAGAAGGATGGGCAAGAAGGGCGGGTTGTTCACGTGATTCCACGTGAGGACCTTTCACGAGTGATTATATGACAACGCAACTCAGATGTGACGAGCCATTTTCTAGCTAGCGACTGGTGCGTCTGTATATCGCCGATATCAACTTTGCAACAAAAAAAACAAAAAAAAAAAAGATCTGAAATCATAAATTATCTATAGCTGTATATTGTGACGGACGCCAAAGTCACAATTTATAACAGCTGAAAGCGAGGTGCGCGTTGCAATATGTATGTATATATATATACAATATATGTATGTATATATATGGTATGATTTCTTCAGACCGCCTGTATATAAAATCGTGTATATGTGAGCTTCCGCATAAAAAATAGATAAATTCATTTTTGCTTACTCCTCGTTACCACAACCGCTTCTCTTTATATAACCTCGGAATATTCATGTAAAATTCATAATCGTGACTTATGCCCCTCTTTCCGGGCAGTATACCGAGATTTATAATGCCGCTAAATTTAGCGTGGCTTTCATCAGCCTTTGGTGTACAATAGCGAAGGATATCTATCGAAGAGCCGCGCTCGGGCTATTCTTCTCTCGTCTATGCAAGCGCGCGGAATATAACGAGCGGTTAGATACTCTTTTCTCTCTCTCTCTCTCTTTCTCGACAATATCCAATTATTTAGTTGCAACGACGTCGCGATTTCAAACTGCGCTCGACACGCATCTCATATTGACGCTGCCTCCTTTTCGTCGTCCTCTCTTTCTAAAAGGTGTCTAGTTACGAAGACTGAGAACGATCGGTCGTCCAGTTGCCTGCGGGTATAAATTATTCATTGTTTATATACGAATGAATCCGACCGGAAGAACCGAGAGTGAGAAATATATACGACCTCTAACAGAGTTGGAGGATCTCCGCCGTAACTTCTCACCTTCGATCGTTAAAACGAGAAGCGGGAATGATTGCGAGATCGTCTTGCGACGTTGCGAGAAATGCGCGAGAATAAAACAATACCACCACCGTTCTTTCCTTCTCCCTCGAGATCGATGAAACTAAATTACACGCTCTTTTACAACTTTTGTTTTAGCTTACAATTAAAGATTCGTCGAGCGTGATAAAGCAGATGCCGTGTTTCAGTTGCAACACGATTTCAAAGCACGATGATATAATATAAAGAATGTGTGTTTTAAAAGTGCATAAAAAAATTGACGATATTATTACATTTTAATGTATATTTTATTTTAAAAATACACTAAATTATTAAATTTTATTTTAATACAAAAATATATTAAATAGTATTGTACTGTCTGTGCTATTTAGTATTGTACTGTCTTTATTTTTAGAATTTTCAAAATTGTTGTGAACTTTTTTCCAATATTTTTTAATAGTTTTATACATAAATTGACTTTGATATTTTCTTGTTATTTATCTCATTTGCTGTATTTTGAAATGCACAATATTAAAAATTTATATATATCACGCAATTGTGTATTTCACTTTAATATTCCGTTATCATAGAATTAGAATCGGTCATTTGGAATAATTGCACATGGTAAAATGTCTGATGAAATCAAGTGCTACTGAAAATTGATCGATTCTATGAATAATACGGAAACGAAGAGCATCGTTTGATTACAAGGATGTGATCGAAGACGAGCTCTCGGAGGTACATAGCGTTGGAGCTTCAGCTCACGAAGACAGACTGCAAATCTGCAAGGGTAATCACCCGTCGCGGGAGACGAATGTACTCTTAAATTGCCAAACACTCGTCCGATGAGAAATGGAAGCGTCGTCGAGGTGTCGTTTAAAGAGAAGGAAGAATTTACCCGGTTTAATCGATTTTCACCGTAGAACGCGTTCATAAATCACCCGGAACTAATTTTTCCGCCCGTTGCTGTCTGCGCAATTCGCGAGTCTGTTCGCGAACAAATACATGTTGCAAAATTGCGCAATATAATATTTGTATGTAAAATGTAAATACAATATATGTGCCGATTGTGTCGTAACATCTCAGGGTACGATGAATTTGTGTGACTTTTCATCTCCATAGAAATTGCACTGGCAATTGTTATGATAATTTTCCTAATGGCATACATAGCGTGAAAAAATTATTATAAATCCAACAGCGGTCTGTTACAGAATAGAACCAACAATTTAATTTTTATTTGAAGTTTTCAGAATTTTGAGATACTTAATAGTAAGTTATAAAAAAAAAGTATGTCGTAAAAATAGTATGTCGTAAAAAAAATGTGTAAATCTTCAGTGTGTTCTTGTGACAGTTTTGCGCCGCGAAAAATGAAATGAAAGAAAGCAGCTATAAATTGAGGAAAAAAAAAGAAACGATGTGACAGACGAACCTATAAAATTTAGAGCCGGCATGATCGTCTTGTTCGTAGCTTGTATAAAAGTACACGCATCGTCTTTATTACCACGTAGTAATTAATTCCGATCTTAAATGGACGCGACGTGAAGCAAAGGCCGACGGAGAGTCGCCGACGAAGCCGGAGCGAGTCATGTCCCTCGAGTCTTCTTGGCGGTTCGGTGCAATTTGTGCACCTTTACGACGCGCCGATAAGACGTTCATTGCACTCGCCTCACGCGATAAAGAAAAACCACGAGATAAGGGTCGAAATACGGTGAGAAAGTGACGCAAAGATCAATCCCTCTCTCAGAGTTTCTTGACATTTTTCCTTCTTTCTATACCGTGTCAGAAATCAATTTAAAAATCAAGCTTTTAAAATGTATCTTATATAAAAATATAACTTAAATATTTATCTTGTATTTGATGTTTGAACAATATATATTGCACAAAACTAACAACATATTAAGATTTAATTACAGTATAATTGCGTTAAGACAAACACTCTTAAAGTAAATTTTACAAATTGTGTTATATCATGTCTTTGTGAAATTAGCTTATTATCAATATCCATGTAATTTGCAACGTTATAAAAGCTCGCCATTCAGAGTGCTCGGAGCGACAAATTAAAAGCGTTAAAACCAGCTTTACTTGAGAGTCACGAAAAGTGAGACATCTGGCAATTAAAGGTTTAATTATCCTTAATATTACCATCCTGGATGGAAGAGGCATTATAATTAGTCGTAAGCGTATTCGTTTTATACACTTTAAAGATACCTGACATTCTATTTAAAGTATAAAAATAATAAGGGGCATTCAAAGTTGCATCAAAGATCGTCTAGTCTTCTTAACTACTTGAAATTCTTTTAAAAAGTACAATATACATATACATACACATATATATATATATATATATTGTACGTTTTAAAGAAATTGTATATACAATACTCTCCATAAATTTGGAAATCATCTGTTTTACAGGAATGTTCGATATATTTTCGGCATATACAAGCTTATAAGTGTCCTAGATAAAAATGTTTATCATTATTTCAGACGTCTTACAATGTATCTAAACCAAAAACATGCACAGATCGCTGTCATGCGGTAGTTTGCCTGTAAAACGTAAGATGTTTCCAAACTTATGAACTGTATATTATATACTATATGTATATATATATATATATATATATATATATATATATATATATATATATATTGAACACTAATATATTGAATAATAAAAATGCAAATTTTTCTTTTGCCAAAGTTGTTATATTTCTGTATATAATTTTCTTTCTTAAAGCTTCATTTTCTCAAATGTATCAGAATGTCCATGACATTAAAGAACTCGATAATTATTCATAAAATTTTCTTTCATGAAAATTCAATTCTGCGTCAGAAAATTCATATTACCAATTGTAAAAAAGTCACGAGATTGATTTAAAACGGAAAATCCTGAGACTATTAGCGGGAAATATGTATTTCGAATATATGACGCACTAAACAGCCTGTATACCCGAGCTCTAGATTATCGTCAACATTTGAATTGTTAAATAACAGTCGCGATCATACGCTCATTGAAGCTATTCCGTTATTCAAATCCTTCAAATCCTCGCATTATTAAGTCCCTGTGCGGTAACCACCGACGAGATGACGCGATGCAAACGATGTTGCGTCACACAAAAATCATGTGGAAAGCCATAAAGATTCCGTAAACTTTTTTTATGTGGTGCAGTTTTGTTTGAATTGATAACGCGCGATACGAGCGTGTCGACTGGCGCAATTATCGTTACGTATCGCGATGATATCACATGCGACGACCGTCGCGTCGGCACGTGTCGAGTAATTTGTGGAAGATTTTTCTTTTTTTTTTTTTTTTTGTCATTTCGCGTACGAGAATCACATCACGGTGATGTTGCGATGGCGTATAATGGAGAGTGTTTCAATGTTCTCTTAGAGATGAGGGAAAATATCACAACATACTTTTATCGCGCGTATATTCTCTCGACGTTTCCGCCTCCCTCGCTGTTTCCCTTGAAAAAATATCGCTGATGCTTTTCGTCACACGCACGCAACCAAAAGTATCGGTATCGTCATCGTATATTCGATACAGATACGCGCGGAGCATTGATCTTTCGGCGAGCGTGAAACGTGGTTGAAATCCATTAGAACAGCCGTTCACGGAAATATACGCGCGAAATATCGCATCGGCTATAAATAGCGGCGCATTTAATTCGCGCACGTGTCGATTGTCCCGGGAAAAGATAAGAGCGCGTGAAAAATTTCCGCGCGTATCGATTCCGGCGCGATCGAAACGATTTTGCTGAGGCGACGTTTCGTCGGAAATGACGGTCGCATCAGCGTATATACACAATCATTCGTAGTCGTGAGAAGTAAGTTTATCGAAACCGCGATCTCTCTCTCTCTCTCTCTCTCTTCCTCTCTCTCTCTCTCTCTCTCTCTCTCTCTCTCTCTCTCTCGAAGGACGATAAACGATGTGTACTCGAGTCGAGACTGTCAGCTCGCGGTGCTCGTTCCCGAGCTTGCGATTTACATCGCGATGGCAGATGTAAATCGCGAAGGTACTACACGTTTGCTAAGTGCCGCTTGTCAGGCATGAACGCGGTAACGAAATGAAGTTCGTAGAAAATTCACGCGAGGGTTACTAATGTGCCGTGTCATATAGCTGTGACATGGATGTATGACTGAGAAATCCGAGGTTTATTAACGCGAAGAATATTAATTGTCATCGATTCATGCGTGAAAAAAAGAAAGAGAAAAGAGAAAATCCAATATGTTTTCCACAACAACATTAATAACACGCAGAAAACTATTTGAGAACATAACGTGAAAAACAGTTTTGTGAATCCGATAAAACGATCGTTACAAGAGCAGGAACGCTAAAGTCTCGATAATTGATAACGGACGAAACCGCTAATTTAATTTTCACGATTCCCGGAATGCGGTTGAGAAACAATGCGCTGCCTCATTTCTACTGCCTAATTAGCGGTCTATCCACTCAGCGAATGTGTTTCGATTATCGAATCGCGCGCGGTCGTTTAATTAACGCCGGAATACGTAGCTTCTTTTCCAGCCGAATTCGCGTAATGACACCAGGAGAGAGCACCAGAGCTGGCACGGACGGAGATTACGCGCGGGGGAGAGACAGCTGCGCTAAGGATCTCAGATTTCAAATGGCCTTTCAACTCGCGTTACACGCGGGTCTAAGTAGTCCGGTTTATATACGGGCTCGGACAAACGCGCTATCGTATGAGCTCGTTCCCAACAGGGTCTCGCTTGTGCCGCGCGTAATTGACCACCGTCTTTATCGGGCGTGTCTATCTCGTGATTTTTAAGAAGTCGCAAATTTCACGAGCGCGTTGCGAAATGCGTTAATGGAATGTTCGGTCGAGGAAGTTACACGGAGAGGAGGAGATTCACAGAACATAAGATTGTTTTGTACGATGAATTCAATTTAAGAATATTTTTTGTACCGAGAGAAAATTTAGTTGGAATAGTTGTGAACGATTGTGAAGAAACGCATGTTTGTTAATAATTTTATACAAGAAAATTTTTCATGTACTAACAGAACGATACGAGATTATTTGTTTGAATTTTATCCTGGGCAAAACATTGTTCCTAGGTAAATTATTCGTACTTTTGTAGATTCTTTACATTGAACATTGCGAAAAAATGCCTCAGCAACCTGAATCGGTGAGTTGCATCTGTATGGGTTGCGAAAACGGATTCAACTTTCGAACAAGATGTTTTTCACATTGGTTTTTTCAAATTAAATTCATTAAAGTATAAAAGGATTAGATTGTTTCTAAATACGAGGTGTATACGATATGGATTTTCGAAAAAATTAATTCCAATTGCAATGTATATTAATGTATACTTAAAAAAATTATATAATTCGCACTTACACACAGCGCAAGGATCTTCAAGGGGTTAAATTATTTTTCTCTCTCAGTTGAAAACTAACACAGTCTTATTTTAAGTATTTAAGATTATTAAGAACATTTTGTTGCAAAACAATTTATTATGATTGTTAAAAAAGATACTGTGCGCGCGCGAAATAAGATTCTCATCTCCCAAGTTCGTTTTAAGGCAAATATCGCACAGTCAGAGACGAGATTGCGAAGCAAAGGCGAGTTTTTCTGGTGCGCCTTGACGCCTCGAACAAAGAAAAAAAAAAAAATACACGATCGTAAAACAGGAACGCGAGCAATGATTGTCGATCCCTCGAGCTTCCGGTCGGAGCAAAGAATCAAAGTCGTCCGTATCTCTTTGACGGTGGCTAACGAACGTCGTACTTAAAAGTCTGTTCACAACGAGAGAGAGAGAGAGAGAGAGAGAGACGGAAATTATAATCAAGACGAATCACTGCGGAAAATGAACGTTAAGGTCTCAACACGTCGGGCTTGAAACTCGTTACGATGACATCCGACGAATTAAGATCTCAGACACGCTACAGCTTTTCATTGTTCTCTTTGTCATAATTTATCGCGTATTCCTGGTAGGAAAGCTGATCGCGCAGCTCGCCGTGATAACTTCAGATTCTAATAGCATTGCAAAGTGCAATATATGTATATGTATATATATATTCTCGCGACGTCGTACTTTTTACTCTTTATTTCATCACTTTGTCGAACTTAGAGCAAATGTCATTGTATTATAAACATTATATAGATATTATAGAGAAAAAGAATTGCACACATTAATCTTATATTAATATTATTAATAATAAATTGAAATAAAATAATAATTATTTTATTGCTTCATTAAACCGATATCAATATTTTTAAAAGTCACGTTTATATTTGTGTATCATACATAAAACATTTTTCTGCATTACACGGTTCTCTATTTATTTATAATTCACATATATAACGTTAATTATATTTCAGAATTAAGTCGTAAAATATACCGCATTTTTAATATTTTGTAAAAGTGTGTAATAAATG